AAAATCTCCTGTTCAGTTCTGAATTTCATCACTTCTTCCATTTGCTTTAATTTCTCTTATGTTCAAGAGCATACTTCAGAGTCTCTGTGTTAGTCCAGGTAGATTAAAGAAATAAATCCACAGAAACTCCATATATGTATAAGAGAAAACTTTATGTAAAGGGTAATTGTACATTAAGAAAGCATTCCAACACAGTTCAGTTCAAGTCCTTAAGTCTGATATTGGTCTATCTGTCCGATACCAATCTATAAAGTCCTCTTCAGACTCATGAAACACACTCAATGATGCTGAATGCAGATAACCACAGGCCAGTGGGGTAGAAAGTATTTGGATCCAGTGGCATTGTAAGAATTTCATCACTGTAAGAGGTTGCCATGTGTTATCTCTAGTTCCCAGGGCATGGGGTCTATCAGCGTAGTGACATGTGTCTTGTCCTCAGAGGTCTCCCAGGAAGTGAGCAGAGAGAGAGAGTCTGTCTCCCACCTCCAAGGAGGAAATCCAGGAATTCCCAGAATTCTCAGGAGAAGGCCATGCATGCCCACACAGAGGTCTCATTGACTATGATCCAATTGACAGACTAGACTCCAAGTTCCAAATTGACATCAGATTGTGTAACTACCACAGCCCCCTTCAACATTCATTTTGGTATTTTCCTTTCTTTCATTTTAATGACTGTTTGTTTTCTTCATGTATGATGTTGTTGATGTCATCCCACAGCTTGTCAGGTGTCTGTCATTAGTACTCAATAGGTCAAATATATTTTGAGATAATGTTGAAATTCAAGTAGAATATATGCAAGATTGTATTTTGACTCACATGTTTTTTGTTGTTGTGTTTTCCTTTTTTGTTTTTTCAAATTTTCAGCCACAATCTGGACTGATACATGGGCAATTGCTGATATGTTGCACAGTCAGATCCTGGCTATTTTTTGTCTGCTGAGTTTGAGCTTCTTGATTGTCTTCCCACAGATGTAGTCAATTTGACTCCTATGTATTCCAGCCAGCAAGGCCCATTTGTACAGCTACCTTCTATGTGGTTGAAAAAGGGTATTTTCAGGGAGGAAGTTTTGGTCTGGCAAAATTCTATCGTGTGAACCTACATTTCTGTCAGGTTATATTTTCCAACTACTATTCCTTTCTCTGTGTTTTCAACATGCACATCCCCATCACCAGTAATTATCAATGCATCTTGACTTAATGTTTGATCAATATTAACTGAATTTCCTTATATGCATATACTCTCTTATTACAGACAGCATTTTACTTTAAAATAGATCGGGAAATGATATCAATGTGATATCATTGATCTTGAACTTGTCATTCACCACAAAATAAGCCATATAGTGTTCAGACTCAAAATGGCCAATACCAATTGTGTTAGTCTGGACATTTTATAGAAACAAATCCACAGAAAATCATATGTATAAGAGGTATAAGAGAGAGTTTTATATAAAAGATAAGTGTGCATCAAGAAAACATCCCAACCCAGTGC